AGGTACGTTAATTAGATGTAACGAGTAAGAGTTTGGAGTTCATCAAGAGAGAGAGAGAGAGAGAGAGAGAGAGAGAGAGAGAGAGAGAGAGAAAGAGAGAGAGAACAAGAGCGATCGAGATACAAGCTCTTATAAGTTTCCATGAGTCATACTTCATAAAGATAGCACACAAACGTACGATACACATACATTCATAACATACATACATACATACATGCATATATCATACATACATGCTCATATTGAGAAAGAAAAAACCTGTAGAAATAAGTGTTTGAGCTTAATACACGCAGGTAGGTGGTATATACGTTCAAAGCAAAACGACGTGTATTTAACGACATGCGTATAATAAAAAGAAAAAAAAAAGAAAATTACACGAGACTCTTTCACTTCGTCTCTTCCTCCATCTTCGTTCATTCGTCCGTTCCGTTCCGTTTCATTCTGTTCGTACGTTCTGTCGTTCGTTCGTTCATTCGTTCGTTTTCTCGTAACATGCGATGTAATGACACCAACGGAGAAATTGTGGTGGAACTGGGTGGGTGACATTGCCATAGTCACGGCGATCCATTCCACGTTGCAGGATCGTCGTATTATTGCACGGGAAAGTAAGAAAAGAAATACGACAGGGCATCCTCCGCGTTCAATGCAATTTCTCGGAAAGAACGTTCTTCGTTGTCTTTCTCTGGCATTGACTGAAAAGAGAACCCTGTATTTGTTAAGAACGAGAAAGAGAACGTTCGTCGCCTCGATGAGATGGAAACTCGACTTCCTACATCCTACGTACATACATACGTATATACGTACGTACGTATATATATATATATATATATATATATATATATATATATATACATATATATATATATATATATACATATATATATATATATATATACATATATATATATATATATATATACATATATATATATATATATACATATATATATGTATGTTTTTCGTTGTTATGTCTATATACGTATATATACATCTAGATATCTCTTGCATTGCTCGTCGTTCTTGCATTGTCAACGCGGTTAAATCTCGAGCATGTCAGGTATATCGAATGAAGAATCTTTCGCGTCATCCACTTTAATAGAAAACAGGAAACGATATCTGGCAATCGAGTAAATATACGGAATTGTCTTTATTTTCTTGACGTCTTCGATTCAAAGCGAACCAATAAAACATCTTTTTTTTTTTCCTTTCATTTAATTACTTGAAAAATATCCCTCCGGATCCAATCGCCATTTATCAAATAAATATATAATGTTAATAATGCATTCAGAAATGTATATTATATATAATAACGTATCAATTTCATCATTATCAGTTAAGATAGATAATAATTTTGAAAACTCATGTCGGTACGTAGAAATTCCAATGAAATCAGTATTCACACTTATTCGTATATAAGCATTGAAAAATGTAGATGATAACTGATATACATATTTTAGAGAGAGATTTTTCGTCACTTTCATTAACATACGACTATCTGACATAAATATTATGTTATAAATACCTGACACCGGCTTTATATTCGTATGTATGTGTATGCACATAATCATATATACATATACATTTACAGATTTTTCTACAAATTTCCAGAACAATATATCCCAAAGCAATTTTTATTGAACATGTATAGTATTATAACATGTAAGTACGTAGGTTTTAAGGCTAGTCGATCGTAAAAATAAGGATATAGAAGAGAATCGAAGTAGGAGATAAGAGGTTTGCCGTAGGAGACCGTATCGTGGAAAGCGTATGTGAAGAATAGGGTGGTAAGACGTGGTGTGGAAAGGGGAGGATAGGAACGGAAGTCTCCTTTGTTCGAGCGAAGTATACCAGCGGCTACGACAGCATAGCGAAACGAGTGCTATGCTCGAGACGAATCGTAAGTGTGCGTATATTCATATGTACATACGACATACGTTCACGAAGACGATGCATCCGTCCAAGCACACCATCCCTCTTCTCTTCCTTCTCCCTCATCCTCGAACGCACCCCGTGGAAAAAAGAAAAAGGGTTGAAGTTTAGCGTACACCGTACGCATTCGCATACACATATATACATACATACGTACATACGTACGTACGTACGTACATAGAATAAGAATACAAGCTGAAGCAAACAGTCGACGGCGATGGTGCAGTGCTAACGTTTTATTTATCAGCGGTGATGGCTTTTCAAGGCCTTCCAAGGGTCGCCATTTTTTGGTAAGCACTACTGAAAGAGAAACTTCTTTCCCCTCGCGAGCTAGCGCAATCGAGATCGTGCGATGAGCGAGTGACTCGCGAGAGCGTTTCGCTGGCTTTTCAATCTTTCCTTCTTCCTTTTCACTTTTTTTCGTCTCTTTTCGTATCACTCAACCCTCTCTTTCAGTCTCCGTATAGTACATATTTAGAGACATGAAGATCGTGACGAGCTCATGATATACACGAGAAAATCGTAAATTAAGAAACACCTTCGTTTTCCTTTCTTTCTCTTTTTCTTTCCTTCTTTCTTTCTTTCTCTTTCTTTCTTTATTCTTTATTTTTTTAATTTTTTCTTTTAGCAAAAATATTGTTTTTTCTTACGAACGTAACTTCTGTCCTTTTTCTTTCCTTTTTTTTGTTTTTCTTTTTTTAAATAGTAAAAAGCACCAAGAGACTACGACTACGAACAGATGATCTCTCATTCGTGTTAGTGTAGAGAAGCTTTTCACGAACAAAGAGTCGAGCCTTTATTTACGATGAAAGAATCTTTCTTGCGGTCGGCATCATCGAGATACGTTCGTAGTCACTTCAGTTGAGGTGACTAGCGCGTACCTACAACCGAAGTCATTCCTTGACGTTTCCTCTGTTCTCTTTCCTCACACGATGCAACACCCAAGTGTGAGCGCCGACGAGCGAGTGTGTGCGCGCGCACACGAGTATAAAAAAAAAAAAAAAAAAAAGAAAGAAATAAAAAAAGAAAAAAGAAAAGAAGAAAAAAATATCGTGAAGGCGGCGTTGAAATATTGCAACGTGTCATGCCAGGAGAATTGCTGCACCGTCGACGATAATCTACCGCTGTCTCCGTGTAAGAACGACGACGATTCGTATTCCTCGAGCTCAAGACGGAGAGAAAACAAGTACTAGCACGAAGAAAGACTACGAATTTTACGGCAAGTAAAAGTTTCCATTGATACGTGTCTTTGTGGTCTATGTATGTCTATATGTGCGTATATACTGCGTACGTCTGTAGACATGTGCATACGATATGTAAGTACCTCTAAGTATCGTCTTGCTGGGATAATAAATTAGGAGACTCAGGAAGTATCCGTGGCCATTGCGAATAGACCTAACTCTATCTCCGTTATCTACTTTAAATCTATCGAGAAAGAGAGAGAGAGAGAAAGAGAGAGAGAGAGAAAGAGAGAGAAAGAGAGAGAAAGAGAGAGAGCGAGAAAGAATTGTTCGTAATAATTTCTACTATAATTTTATCGTTCCTTTTTTTTTTCTTTTTTCTTTCCTTTTTCTTCGTTTTTTTTTTGTTTTTTGTTTTTTTTTTTTTATATTATTCAATGATAGTGAAAAAAATGAAGATTTGTTTTTAAGCGAATGATATCCAATTAATATCGATATAGTAGATATCAAATTGATTACGACTACGACAATTTTGATAATTCTAACTCTCTTCGAAATGGCAAACATAAAAAAATAAAAAGAAAAGAAAAAACAAACGATAATGGAGATAACCGTCCAGCTGCGGTCAAATTTTCGTGGTTCCTCTTTTATAACGCTGGGTTTGTTTTTCGAGTAATTTTTTGCTAACCATCGCAAATTAAGCTCGTGCCAGTTACATGAATCGTATAGAAGTCACAAGGGAAGGAAGGGAGTTGGAAACAAAAGTTTTCGCGCCCCCTCGAAAGGGGGGAGAGAGAAGGAGAAAGGGTAGAAAAAGTGAGAGAGAAAGCTAAAGATAGATAGATAGAGAGAGAGAAAGAGACACACAGAGAGAGAGAGAGAGAGAGAGAGAGAGAAACGAATGGGCGGTTAATTAACTCGTACCACCGGTATTCGCCAAATACTCGATGCTACTACGATTATTCGCGATTCCAGAATACATCTGCGATTCTTGGCAATGAGCCAACGAAGATCGCACGCCGTGACAACGATAATCACGAAAGCGACTTTTCAAATCGACTCTTTTATCACGTCGTTTATTGCGATTAAAAAAGAAAACGTTCTCCACACAGATATCTACCATTGGACCTCCATACCATTTATCTTCGAACGGCAAATGACTATTATCGAAATACTTTTTGTGCGATTCTTCGTTGTCGTTAAAAAGAATAAAAAGAAAAAAGGAAAAAAAAAAGAAAAAAAAAAAGAAATAAGCAACCACACAAATTTATCGTTTATCGAGCGTAGAAAAATTCTGGTTACGTAAGCATCGCAAGGCGTTCAATAATAACTCGGTAGTAGATATTTTTTTATTTCAGCTGCAAACCTCGTACCCCACTCGTCTGCCTCTCTTATTTTAATAACGAACTATTAACAGACTTCCTCCCCTTGTTCTTACAACCTTCTCCTCTCTTCATCGGATAGCCGATCGGCTCTCTCTTTTACCCCTGACCCCTACCTTACTCCCCGTTTGCTTTGAAGCTAGCAACTCGTGATTTTAAAACTTTACCATGAAAGAGAATTCAGAAATTACACAGAGAGAAAAAGGAAAAGAGAGAGAGAGAGAGAGATAGAAAGACCCTCATCGTACCACGAATTTTCTTCCATTCTACATTAATATTTCCAAAGCAAGTATTCCAATGATCTGTCCTTTATCGTTCTTTCATGTTTCTTATTCTTCGTCGATAACTTACAAAGAATGTCAAACGAAATTGTTTTTATTTAAGGAAAATACTTTTAACATTATTTTTATTACAATAAAATTGTTTTTTACATCAGTAAAATACATATAAATAATTATTGTCGAGAAGACGATTAAAAATAAATAGTTTCGAAGACTATCAACTACTGTATCGAATTAAATCCTTGGAAAGATCTTCTTAACAAGATTTCTTAAACCAAGTTCGATAATGATAAGAGAAGTTTTCGCGTTACTACCCGACACCTTATCTCTCGATTTTCTTATGCAAAAAAGTATTTTAAAAGATCTCATTGGATCTGTATTGAGTTCGATAGTAAGTTCAAAGTTAAAATCCAATTCTAATAGATTATAACGAAACGTACAAAATGTTCCAAGGACGGTCCGCTGCCCTGTTAAGAGTTAAGAAACTGACTGAGTAGCAACTTCCTTAAACCCCCTAGACAAGTATGGTTCGTTTATTCGCAGAGGTCTGTGGTCTATCTCAAAGGCGACATCTCTCACTGTTCACGGAAAATGGCTCTCGCAATGGCTTTTCCTTGAATACTGGTTGCGAGTTGGCTCTACATTCAGAAGATATTAAGTGAAAACATTGGAGCTGCCTCCAGTGCACGTATCCGCCTAATATTTACCCGGAAAGATATCGCAAAGAAACCATCAGCAGACACGGTTCTTTTTCTTACGTCGAAAGTACTCTCTTCTTCATGGTGAATCTTACTCTGGGTCTTAGTGAAAACCACAGACGTCGAGGTTCTTCTCGTTGACGGTGCTTCGTGAAATCGCATAAGAGCGAGATACGCCTTAAAATAATCTTGCCATTTGGCCGGTACATAGCCACAGCCCTCGGAGTCGTGTCTCTACGACCAAATAAACCAAGAGACGAGCAGATCTTATCGCTATCAATTTACTATACGACGTTCCAAGGCCGTACAACCAGTGAACTTTACGATTCTGTTTTGCACGAGCAAAGCGAAAGGGATCTTATCGAAGTCACCCCGATTGTTCGCTTACATTCAAAGGGTCAATCTTCGTACTTTTCGTAAATATATTGGTTACATTAATTTAAAGTCAAATATTTCAAAACTTGGATCAAAATCGTTCAGAGATTTTTTTACTAACTAAATCATATACGATTAACTAATGCTATAAAATATTTACTTTTCCATTAATCCTAATCTCCTGTAGTAAGTATATATTAGCAACATACGACTGTCTCGATTAATACTCGAGCTAACGAAGTACTTCCGACGCGTTAGTACGTATAAAAATGTCCTCGAGCCGGGTAGAACATATAGTGCTTGCAATTAAATCGACGTGGCAGCTTCATAACCTTTATTACACAGCCATTACTGTTTATTAATTAACGTAACCTATAGAATATAATTACGTATATAACAAACGAGTCGCGGTTGAAAATCATTACCCATACGATAAAACTGTCTGGAAATAAGTGTAATATTACATTTTATTTGCAAACGATTTTCGCTCATTTCTGTCATCCATAAAATTAATTAAAATAAATTTAAAGGGAATTGACAATTTATTTTCTATCGATAGACTTTCTTGTTTTTCACTTAAATTATAGAATCTTCGATGTATAAATCAAAGAATTCAATCGATCGACAATAATAATGTCGCAGATATTAAACACAATTTTTCTATCAAAATTTGAAGGATGCTCGAAAAGTTTCTTCGTTACTTCGACGTATTCTTTTTCTTCGTTCTCTTGTTCTTCGAATTATTTCGTTCTGTTGTTCTTCGAATTATTTCATTCTTTATTTTGATATGAAACCATTTTCGTTATTACTTGTGTAACAAATCATATTAAAGATAATAGAACCATCGAAAGATGATATATCTTGACGATAATGATTTTTAAAACATTTCTCGTAATCAATCATATCTCTTTTCAATTCGTTTCCCATTTTGTTCTATTCGCACGATTATATATCACTTTTTATAAATCTTCTATACATTTGTCATTTTCTTTCTTATCGATTCAATCATTCTTTGTCTTATTCTTATATTGCTATAGATTTCAAGAATCAATTTATAAATAATAAATTCGTTGATTCAAAAAATATAAATAATAGAAACAAAAGAGAAACCACGAACGTATTTTCTCATTTCATAACGATTTTATTAGTAAATAGCATTCGAATCTGTTCATTTAAAATATATGTATATATATATATATGTATATATGTATGGACGTATATATGCATATATGTATGTATGTATATTCCTTCTAAAAGCATTCAACGATATTACATGCCGAATGAAGCATGGATTATAAAGAGGTGGCCGGTATCGGGGAGGGCGAAAACTTCATCCCCTTTCTACGCCATCAAACTAAATAGAAAGTCCTCGGCAGGATGATGAAGGCACAGAGATATTTAAGCGCGACCTCGTAATAATATCGTTTACAAGCGGAATCCCGCGAGAGGAAGGCGGTACTTTTTTTCCGGTGCTTTATTCCATTAAAGCAAGGGAAGCCTTGCCTCATAACGAATCCTCCTCCGCCAGTCAGTCAGCCCAGCCAAGCAGCCAGCCAGCCAGCCAGCCAGCCAGCCAGCCAGCCAGCCAGACAGACAGACAGACATACAGACAGACAGACAGATAGATAGACAGACGGTCGCTTGTCTCGAATTCGCTCTCACTCCAACCCTCTACCTCGTCGTTTCCTCTTTTTCAATTCGATGATACACCACGACTACGACGAGATGTTGATATTGAAAATGCTTTAACTTCCAGTCTGAACACTTTTCCCTACGAAATAGCAATATCGACTGTAGAACGTCTTTGATTAAAATAAAATCTATCTCTTTCGGCGATTATATTTCGTTACCCCGAATATAACAAAGATTCCTTGAATTGTATTCTTTTTTCTTCTATGTTTTTTCTTTTCTCAGCAGAGTAAATCAGATCGTACACCCCATTTATCCTCGTAACCCTTTCATTTTTTTTTTCATTTTTACAATCGTACACCAATGGAGCGTCGAAATAGATTTCGTTGGAGGGGTTCGTTTATCCTACGTGTGCCTGTCTTTAATTTCGACCCTTCGAAAATGTTACAACCCTTTAGAATAACCAACGTCGTCCCACTCGTCTTATCGCACCAATACACAATACGAAGCCGTCCTTCGGCTCTTAAACTCTTACTTTGGTAAAACGCGTTAGGGGGCGTATGTGTATATATACTCGTGGACAGTGCACACGATCCGACCAAATTCGTTTAACCCAATTAAGGAACCCCGTTGCAAATCTTCAAGTGACTGCTCAGTCAATTGAAAGTTACACGTGTTTCTGTCAGCTCACATTTAACACCAAGCTGCGAGGGTTTAGGGGTGTAACCGGATACACGTTGTCAGGAAGGAACGAGCTGGAGGAGGAACAGAGGGAAAAGGATGAGAAGAGGTGAAACGGTGCGAACGATCGGTAACTGAGTAGCACCGCATACAGTATCTATACACATATATATATACATACACACATACATGTATCCAGACATATACATATATACTATATATGTATATATACACAGTATATATACATACATATATGTAATATATTTTATATATGTATATAATTTTTCCTGTTGTAGAGAACATATCGGAGTATATCAAAGTCCATTGAACGTAGAGTACGATTACCGAGAATCTGATAAATCAATATGACTGTTCAAGATTAAACCATATAGATATATACTACTTATATACTACATACGTATATATATATATAGAACGAAAGGCAAATCAAGTAGAGTTTAGTCTTCGCTTAATTGGCAACATCACCGTTACATTTTCGAGTACCATCGATACAATCGTATTTATTATCCCGTGAAATCTTTGATCGTTTCAGGATTCTATTTTCATCTTGAAAACTAGAACGTTTCCCTTCACCTTTGCACAGTTGCACCGTTAAGATTACTTTCTATATCGTTTTCTTTCCTTTATGCCAACTTACCGGCTCAATTAACAGAATATCTTCGAGAGCAAGATCGATCATTTCGTTAGTATTAATTTTTTATTATATTAGAACAGTACGATAGAACATTATATAATATTGTATAAACGAGCTAATGCACGAGCGAATACTCTTCACTGATCCTATAATAGCTTTTAAAAGGATAATCGAAATACATTTATTGCCGGATATTGGTTCTTATCGGGGAAAAAAGAAAAAAAAAAAAGACTCTCTTCCCTGTTGATCCTTTGATGTCGATTAATACTATTTGCCTTTAAATTAGTTCGTTTAAAAGAAAAGAGATAAAAAGGTATTTGTTTTTGTAATTTCAAGAGTTTCTAAACGAATGGACTAGAGATTTGTTCGTTTATATTCAAAAATTATATTTTTATCGACAGAGAGAGAGAGAGAGAGAGAGAGAGAGAGAGGAAAAAAACAGAACAATTCAATAACTATCTCGCTCTATGTCTACACATTCAGTTTGCATCTACCATCCTGAATTGCATCAATTTCGCATCGAATACGAACCGATCATGCATGTTCGACCAGCCAATCGTATGCCTTCGGTACGGTTCGCTGCTAAATTATTATAATGTCGTTCGAACAGAATTGTCCGGTTCGAACCGATCTAACTTCTGATTCCATTGATAATACTATCAAAAGAGTTGGCCGTATTCACAATAAATTATAATAATCACCTAGTATTATTCAATGAACATCTTACGAACGTTAACGAAAGGAAGTCTATATAATAAATAAATAAAAAAAAAAATAGAAAGAGAAAAAAGATGTCTTTTCTTTCGCGAGCTTCGTTCAAGACTCGTTTCCAGAATACTTCATACCAGAAGACTTCATATCAGAATAACCGTTAGACGTAACGCAAAAATTTTCATAATACCAAGCGATAAGATTTGCTCGTCGACGATCCTCCTTTCACATGGCTCGTCAATTACGATGCACGAGTTATGAATGGGCCGCCTTGACGATCTAAAAAAAGAGTGAGAGTGAGAAAGAGAAAAAGAGAAAGAGAGAAAGGAAAGAGAGAGAGAGAGAGCCGCATCTCCTCTCGTACCTTTAACGCATCAACGGCTGCCGTCAACGGGCGTTCTCGCTTCGCTTAACTCGAGACGTAGTAATGATTCCGTAGGACAGAAGTAAATGTAGAAAGACCCGCCACCTTCTCTCGTGTCTCCGCCATTTCTCGTCGCGACAGACTGTATAACGCGACTGAATGTGTATATGTACAAGAGAGAAGGAGAGAGAGAGAGAGAGAGAGAATGCGTCGCGTCGAAACACACGCTTATCCCTCGACGAATTCTCAACAGAAATTTACGAGATAACTTTTTAAAAGTGCGTCACATTAATTGGAAGAAGGAGGTAGAAAATATGTACAAGAGATCTGTTTAGTCTTACAACGAAGATGTTGCTTTTCTCTCTCTCTCTCTCTCTCTCTCTCTCTCTCTCTCTCTCTCTCTCTCCCTCTCTTTTTCTACCTCTCTGTCGTAATCGTACGGTTTCATTTTCTATCCGAAATCACCCGATGACGCTCGATTTTACGTAAAAACAACGTTTCCACAAGTATATACATACATACATATATACCGTATATAAGTAACAGACAATAAGGTTTATTGTGAATGTGTACGCGTGTATATACGATATAGGAGGATGACAGTGACCCACTTGACATTTTTTTCTCTTGATAGTTCTAGCGATCGATGGGTTCTCCGTATGTTGATTCATAGATGACATACGAGCTAACTTTTTCTACCCACCCTACTATTCTTCTAGCGAACTTCCTTTAGTAAAGCTCGATTACCGATACTAGCATGAAATAATACGCACAATCAAAAAGCCAGCTGTATCATCAATCTAGAAACTACTAACTACGCCCGAATCTTATTTGTCGAAAAATCGATTCGTTTACATATTATTAGATAAAAAAGAATAGAACGCTATTAATATGATACGTTAGAACATAGATTCGTTATCTTAATAATCCTCATACGTCTCTTCATTATTCATTATCCTTTTATCTTTTATTATCATCATACACCGTTTCTGACTATTAAGTACTCATGACTTTTAAATCAGAAAACGGAAGATCAATTATCTCGAATTTCGTAAGCAAGAAGAGATATCTTCATCATTATTATGAGAAAAATCAACAACGCGTGCGAGGAAAGGTATGAAAAACATTCATCATAAATAAGAAGAAAGGAAAAGAAAGAGAGAGAAAGAGAAATATATATATGTGTGTGTGTGTGTACATATATATAGAAAGAGAGACAGATAGAAAGATAGGTCATAAACGATCGCGCTCGGAAATCCATTTTCAAGAAGAATGAAATGTCGAGACGTCCTTGAATCATCAGCTATTCTGTCCGACGTAATCATCGGTAAAACTAATATATCGTCTAGATTACAATGCGATATCTACTGGCTGACGAATGGGAGAAGAAAAGTGTTAAGGGAACTCATCTGAGTGGAGAGACGCGAATAACGCGCGTTTACCGAGGGGAAAACTCGATAGAAAATGGTAGAGTCGGATACGATCCTGTCGCGTTACGATACGAATGCGTTTCCTGCGATATACATACGGGAGATGCACGTTCTCCAGCACAGTTTCGCGCCATGTTTTCCATCGCCTCCACACATTAATCACGGTAAAAGCCGTAATCCACCGGCGCCCATCCGTATCTTGCCTTAGTTAATGGAAATATGAGAGGTGTTACTTTCGTCTCGTGACATCTATTTTTTTTTTTATCATCTCTCCCACTCTCTTCTCCTTCTTCGTTTCTCTTTTCTTTTTAATTCATAGAAAAACCGCGGTAACATTGCGTCGACCTATGTAGGATACATAGGTATATGGAAAGATACAAGGTTGTTTCTTGGATTTTATATACAGTGTGTTGTATTTACTGTTAACAAAATGACACGAATATGTACACCGAATTATTCTGAATAATAATAATAATATAATAGTTTAGGAATCGTGGAAATAGGTCCGTCTGCATTTTTCTTTATTTATCTTAATAATCAAGAGAAACATAATTTCATAGGAAAAAATAAAAGGGTACGCGTTTATATTGTATGCATAACTCTTGTTACACACTTTTCAAGATGCAGATTGCTAAAGGTGCGTACACCTGCGAGTAGTAGTGCAAATTGTGATTTATGTGAACAACGCGTTGTTGCGTACTCCTGACGAAAGGGAATTGTGAGTGTAATGAGTTATAGTCGTTTCTAGTTAATCCGAATATATGGTCGAGTGGAACGAGCAATCGGCGTAACACTGGACAACTGCATTGCATTCGGAGTGGAAAAGTAAAATGATTGAAGGGAATCATTTTTCTATATATCAACGACATTGACAATATGTTTCTTTCGTTCTTTTTTCTTTTTTTTTTTTTTATCGCGAGAGCACCGGTTAAACGAAATTGTACAGCTCGTGTTATATTCGTAACTGTTGAGCAAACTCTCTAGAATTTAGAATTTAGAATAAAGGGTAACACTGACCCGCTGTAAAAAAATTTATCGTTGCGTAATTTAACCGCAGCTTTTTCAGAGTTCCAAGTGAGCCAAGTGTGTTCCAACATGGCGCAAACTAGTTTACAAAGAACGAAGCGCGGTCTCTGTGACGGCAAGGGCCTCTAGGGCCTCTGCGTACTCGTTGAACAGACCCTTGGTAGGTGCACTTTTGGGGTAGCAGGCAACCCCTACGGCAGCGACCATGCTTCAAGCCTCGAGTACTCGCCGAGACGGGCAGGGGTGAAAGGAGACATACCTACCGTGTCACGAAAATCTATGTATAAGATGGAATTTCAAATATTCCTACAAGATCCATTTAATACCTTAACAACGAAATCATCTTTAGAGAAACTTTGTATCAAAATTCGTGTAAATAAAACATGAAAACTTTTTTCTAACGGATAGATAGATAGATCTTTTTATTTATATATATATTTTTTAACATTTTCAGGATTTTAAAAATAACATTTTCAAGAATAAGAAAATCTAAGGATCTTCCAATAAATGACAAAGTGTCACCAAAAGTGTTTTGATTGTTAGAATGAAACAAACTTGTTTAAAAGGTACTCATTCGATTTTACGCTCTACTAAGTTCAAAGAGAAAATTCAAAGATTGTATTTATTCAATGTCAATCTAACTCTTGACCGTGAAAATCCGACAGAGCTAATTTTATTTCATTGTATGTTCTGCTCCTGTCATAAGTACATATTCTTCATAAAAATCTTATGCTTTTAACATTTTCAGGATTTTAAAAATAACATTTTCAAGAATAAGAAAATCTAAGGATCTTCCAATAAATGACAAAGTGTCACCAAAAGTGTTTTGATTGTTAGAATGAAACAAACTTGTTTAAAAGGTACTCATTCGATTTTACGCTCTACTAAGTTCAAAGAGAAAATTCAAAGATTGTATTTATTCAATGTCAATCTAACTCTTGACCGTGAAAATCCGACAGAGCTAATTTTATTTCATTGTATGTTCTGCTCCTGTCATAAGTACATATTCTTCATAAAAATCTTATGCTTTATAATTAAAATATAACAGGCTTCCTTGTTGAAAGTTTCACGAGTTGTTGAAAGTAACGCTCAATAATGGAACTTTTTAAACTTGAAAACACATCAAAAGTATACATTCGTATCTAAAATCTACCAGGGGGTTTCTTTCTTTTCAATTATTTTTTCATTTATGTAATATGCATTTTCTTCTTATGATGCAAGATAGAAAGTACCAAACGTTTTGTCTAAAAGACGGGCAATTAAAAAGTTAAAGTGCAAATTAGTCGAGATTACAGCTCATTAGTTTTCATCCACCTTGTAATGGATGACAGAGAAGGGCGAGAACATATATATATATGCATATATATATACACATAAACTGAATACGCGTGAATGCCTGAATGCAGTTATCCATAGACGTTATGTCAGTCCAGATGAAGCTGAGAAGCAAGTGAGTACCTGTGTTGACGACAGTGCGCTAATTGGCTGCGAAAATGATTCATATCGTAGAATGCAAAATATTTCAATAAAATAAATCGCTACAATGAAATTAATATCAATGTGTTTTATAAAGTATAAACATATTTTTACAGATAAACGTATAAAAAATAAATTTTATAATTTTTAATTCTGAAGAAAAAGAAATAATTTATCGATTTTTATCAATTGTCCATATAAATCGATCTAAACGATATATTTATTAAACTAACTTCAATTGCAATCTTATCAATATTTAAATATCTACGATTTCTTTTTTATTTGAAGAATCTAATGAATTTTAATATTCGTCGATATATAAAAGCGGTAAAAAATAATAATACGTTGTTTTTATAATAATTTTTAACAATTCATATGTATATATATATATATATATATATATATATATATACATATATATATATATTGTAGGCATTCAATCATGCTGATGCATCTAATGAAGGATCTTTAACAAAACATCAATACAAAATAGCAATGACGGCATTGTTTGGTTACTCCCCTAATAAAGTTCGATAAGTAGGTCATTATTTGTTTCTGTTAAAAAATATACATTTTTATTACAGCCCGAGATAAATTATGTTTTCCGCTCTTCTTCAAATAAAAGGATTTCGCTCAAGGAATTCGAGTATTGGGTATTTAAAAAATGTCCTATAGGTCAGTCGATGATTAGTTTAGAAACTATATTTGGTTTAATAGATAATGATAGTAAGTAGATACAATAGAAAATTGTAAAGATTATTTTATAATTCGTAATTTAAAAAAATAAAAAAGGATATCTATGTATTTATAGATAAAGGATATTTGACAATGACAGATTTATGGAAAGCTAGTGAAGTTATTAACATGAGAATATCACCATCGATATGGTATAAAACATTTAAAGAATTAGATCAGTACCAAAAGGGATATATTGATCTGGCTGAGTTTATATACATTTTCACTAATATCAAAAATAATATTAATCTTAGTTATACATAATAAATGATTTAATGCACTCAACAATATCAGATGATTCTAATAATTATAAATTATTTATGCACATTTTTATTCATTAGAAAAATGCCTTTTCTCACTGTATTATTCTTACCTTCTCTTTCTCAGACTTATATACGAAAATATAATCCTATATTAACAATAACATTATACTTTATAAATTATTTCTTCACGTGCGATCGTTATTTAATACTACCAAAATAATCATATACACAAGTATGATTATGATGTAGATACTGAAAAAGTATTTACATTTACAGATACTATATCGCACGAAATTTATTCTTTGTCTGAAAACTCTTGATTAGCTAAACTGTAGAAATACGAATCAGTATTTTGTATCAATAAATTTGGTTCATCAAATTCTAATATTTCTCCATCACCCATCACTAATACCCTAAAATAAAAACCAACAGTTGAATACAAATTTAAATATTCTCACATACATGATAAATATTTAAATACAAAAATTATTATACCTATCACAATGCATAATTGTTCTTATTCTATGAGCTATAGTAATAACAGTGGCACTTCGAAAAGAAGACTTTATTGTTGATTGAATAAATTTATCCGTTTCTTGATCAACATTGGCAGTCGCCTCGTCTATACAAACTATCTGTAAAAATATAATTTTATTTAAACATTGATATCATTAAAAATAATTTCGTACACTTTCTGATATATTAATATAAATACAAATATACCTTAGCATTATGCAGAATAGCTCTAACTAGACATAACAATTGTCTCTGACCCGCACTCAAATTATTACCACCTTCATCTAATTGAGCCCCTAAACCTCCTAAACGATAAATTAATGAATGAACCTTACATTTCTCTAAGGCTTTATATATATGTAAATCTGAATATTGATTTAATGGATCAACATTTTCTCGAATAGTTCCTGAGAAAAGGAATGGACGCTGAGGTATTATAGATAATCGAGACCTAAAATCATGTTTATAGTTTCTTATAATATACTTATATAAATAATTATTATATATTATTACATTTTAAAAAACTTAATATTACCTTAGTGCACTCAATTGTAAAGTTTGAATGTTAACATTATCTATTAATATGCTTCCTAAGTTTATCTCTACCAATCTAAATAAGGACGTAAGAATAGAAGTTTTTCCAGCACCAGTACGTCCTACGATACCAATTTTCTCAGCTGGCCGAGTGATAAATGATATTTCTTTTAATGATGGTATTAAATGCTCTCTACAAGAAAAACCTTTAGTTAGAATTATAATGAAATTATATTATAATAATTACATTTTAAATACTTACCTATATTTTAAAACAACATTTTTGAACTCTACAACACCTTGACTTGGCCAAGCATATGGTGGATTCTCTCCACCTATAGTTTCTACTGGAATATCATCTAAATATTGTTTTACTCGCTCGATTGCGATCATTTCTCTTTCTGTTTCAGTAAATGCATTTACTACACCAGATAATAAACTTGTTACAGATAAAGCGTATGTAATTGCTAGACCTATTAAACCTGGATCTGCTATATCATACTGATGCTGTAAAACAGCTATAATGCTGACACCTGCTAAAAGTGAAACTCCTATAAATTGTAATCTAAGAGAAAGCCATTGACTAGCCGAAATTGAAGCAAATTGTGTTTTTTGACTAGCTTCCAATAAAAGTTCATTTTCTTGTTTAAAACGGGATACAGCTCGAAAAGCTCTAATACTGGTAAGTCCATACAATGTTTCATTGAAATGAGCATAAAGAGGTGATAGAGCTGTACTGGATAGACGTTTTAATTCTCTAGATGTTAACCTAAATTGAGATAAAATTTATAATATAGATAAATCACAACACTAAAAATAATTACTCTTAACTTACTGATTAAAAAATATTTCTGGTAATAAAATTTGGATATAAAGTTTCAAGAATGATACCTATAATGATTTTGTATCCAATGATAAACTGGGATAAGTGGAGCCAAAATCAAAAATATCCATGGTAATCCATAGGCTGTTACAATGATTGTTGCAACTAAACCAAATAACTGAGCAAATAAAATATTTGTAATAAATGGTAGAGTATCGTCAATTGTATATGTGTCTGATGAAAATCTGTTTATAATTCTTCCCAATGGTTGAATGTCAAAAAATATATTTCTGGCCTAAAATTACATAATAATATAATTATCAAATAATAATCATATATATATATATATGATATTTAGAATAGCTTGTCATTACCTTTATTGCTGTTTTTAACAGCTGTTTATGAATAAAAGTAGCTGCTTGAATTCCACCATACGCAAATATAAATGCTCTTATTAATGTAAAAATTGAATTAATTAAAGCTAAGAGGCCATATACAGTCAAGTAATAGTTATCATTTTGTACAGTGTAGTTATTGAAATAATATTCTAATTTTTCTGATAATGGCTTAATAGTTGAATTGAGCGACGATATATTAGTATGTGTAACCCAATAAGATAACCATAAATCTGTTATATTTTTGGAACTTTGCATTAATAGCATAGAAATCAATATAGATATCGCTAAATAACGTCCAACAGCTGTAATATAAGATGTATACACTCTAAATTTTAAATTTCCTTTCTCTATATATTCTTCATTAAATACAGCATTTTCTTCCAAGTTTAAAGGTTGATTTAATTCATTTGATATCATTTTTCTAGATTTATGATTCAAACCAGTTCCAAATGATTCAGAAGATAACAAATAATCTTCTACATCAGGTATAACATCACATGGTTTCCCCTTTTTGATAATCTTTCCATTTAACATTTCTATAACTACATCTGCATGTATCAAATATTGAGTTTGATGTGTGCATAGTACCCTTGTTTTATTTTTTAATAAGCCTAAGATAACATGCTGAAAAACATGAGCAGCTACATTCGTATCTAATGTTGCTAAAACATCATCCAATAAATATATATCTTTATCTGCATATATAGCTCGAGCCAAAGAAATTCTAGTTTTCTGGCCTCCGCTCAATGTATTTCCAGCCTCGCCTATGGCAGTTAAATCTCTTTTTGGTAATGAATTTATATCATCAAAAAGAGCACATGCTTCCAGAACACTCCTACATAATATAAAAATATATTAATGTACATTATAATTTATTATATTTATAATAATATTCGAGCAAAATTGTTTAAAAGAATATTTACTTGTATTTATTATGATCATAAGTTTTTCCAAAAAGTATATTCTCTCGAATAGTGCCACATTGCAACCAAGGATTCTGCTTCACATATCCAAAGCCTTTGTTTATATCGTTTAATGCAACAGTACCATGAACTTTTGTTACTTCTGCTAAAATAGCATTAAGCAATAGTGATTTTCCACTGCCTACTTCACCCATAATTCCAATCAACTGTCCCTGTATCAATCAATTATGATTTGTTGAAATAAAATCCACGTATAAACTTTAATTACCTTTTGTACTGTAATATTAATATCGCATAAATTGAAGGTATCATTGTCTTCAAAAGTAACATTCTTCTTAGCCTCTAAATTAGAACAAGAAGGTTTCGTTAAATCTTTGAAATTTGGAAGTTCAACACTATCACTATGATGTCCTGTCACAGTTGTCACATTTTTAAACATAATATCAATTCCTGGTGGACTTTCCATATAATATGAAAATATATTCATATCTGGTAACTATTTAACATGAAATAAATGTCATAATATATACAATTTAATATATAAATAAGATATTTAAAATTTACTTGAAAATATACACACGTCTAGCATCCTTTGAACTCTCTTGACCGAAACCCATGCTTCTGTAAGACCATTCAATACCCATGGAAATGCATTTAGTGGACCAATTAGCATATTTAATAATGCCATGCTAGTAAAGACTGTTTTAGCATTAAGTTTATTGCCAAGTAGTACGTATGTTGAAAAAGTCAAAATTGATATCAAAACAGGTGTTGTTGCCCAAAAGTATACACATAAAGCATCTAAATATTTTCTTCCACTTAAATATTTTATTTCCCTCTCTCGTAATTCTATAAAAAAATCAAAAGTAAGTATAATTAAGAATTAATTTAGCATATAAATTGATACAAGTATACTAACTTAAAATGTTCCTTGAAAAGTATTCTTCCCATACATTTAACTTTATCGTAGTTATACCACGTAGTGTTTCACCCATAATTCTAACTCTTTTATCTTTATATTCCATCAATTTTGTACTAAGAACCCCAATTTTATTTGCAATTATTTTATTTATTGGTATAAGTACAGCAGCGAAAGAAACTCCAGCTAGGAATGAAATTCCTATTTGTTGATAGAGAAGATATAGTGTCACAATCAGCTAAAAACAGGATATATATATTTTTTATACTAATATAATTTAAATTTAAATCCGCAGCTATACTAGAAATTTACCTGCATTGGTATACTCCAAAATGTGTGAAAACTTGGACAACTGTTAACAAGCCTGTCATTATCTGTAGTCACAAAATTAACAATTTCACCAAAATTAAATTGCTGATGTAAGTGGACATTTGAAGAGTGTAAAGTTTTTCTATAAATTAATGTAACAATTGTTGATCGTATTTTCAAACCAACAACGGACATCCAAAATGTAAAATGCGCATTACAAAAAGCACCTATAAAATAACACATCATGGGTTAATTATTTATAAATGTTATAATAAAAATAACAATTCTTACCTACTAAAGCACTAATAATTATTAAAGATGCATATAAATATCCGTATGAAATAGATTCATTTTTGTCTTCAATGAAACTTATTAATCTGTTTAGTAATATAGGTCCCATAAATGAAGAACAATCTGCAATAAATTTTAATATTCCAACTGCATAAAACTGCCATCCAAAACATCTATGCAAAAGACTAAGTAATGTCAATTTATTCTTAATAACGTTTGTATCTTGTTGCAATATTCTTTCATTAGCAATTATTTCCTCTGTACCACTGATTGAAGCTTGAATCTAAAGCATATTACAATGATTTCACGAAGTATAACAAAAATAAACAACAATAACATTATAAAAAAGTATTTTGGTATTTACAGGAACTTTAGAATGTTTATCTATTTCTTGATTAATAGCATTTGTGCTAATACTTTCTGGTAAATCAAATAAATCATCTGTGTGATTTAATAATCCTTGTACACCTTTTTCCATCAATGGTGTCACCCAATGGAATAGCAATTTTGAACCAAGAGTAGCATCCTCCATTGCAGTCCCGAGATAACTTGGGTCTTGCTCTCCAGGAAAGTGTACATAAGATGAAGTGGGTGTATTCAATAATGCAGTATGTTCCCCTACCTATAAAAATATAATATAAATAAAGAATATATGAGATGAATTCTGGTTGAAAAGGTAAACAATGTGTAATAACTTACTTCATAATGCAGAGATCTTGCAGATTCTGATCTATTATTGATAGGTACCAGTGTTAATGCATAAAGTATCAAAAGTGTTACTGTACTGATACTGAATCCCAATGACAAATTAGGTAAGACATCATCCATGGATTTGTTATTGATATGACTTCGCAATAATAATATAGAAATGACAGTCAATAAAAATATCAATGCTCGAATCAATAATGGACCACGCACATTATCATTATTTCTTCTTTTTAAGCTTAGAATAAAACAGAGATGAACAACCCATGCTAATCCTTCAGTTCCTGCTACAAGATAATCAATTGGTTTAACAGCAGTTGCTTTATTTTTAAATGCAGTAAGTTCTGGCTTATACTCTTGCGAATATGATAATAATATTGGAGAATCTGTAGCCTTTATACTACTTTTAGATGAAAAGATCAATTTAGCAAAATTTGCTGTGTCATTTATTCCATTACGGATTGTATTTATTATATTGACAGGATTAAAATTGAAGTCTTCGTTATGTGATAACGTATCGAGTCTATTAGTTATAGATGATATATTGCTCTTCAATTCCTCATTCATCGAAGAAATAGTAGTATTAGTTAAAATGATATAAGCTCTTATTATAGGAAGCAATATAAGACACAGTGTAATTAAAATTCTAATAGATATTACATAGAGACAGTGACTTCCACGAAGTAGAGATACATTTTGCTTTCCGCAATGATATGCAGAAATAATGGCTATTAAAATTAAAACTGGTACCTGTAAATAATCAAATACATTTAAATCAAATAATTAGATAAATAAAAAAGTACTCTAATTACTTATATGAATTTTATTATAATACTTGAAGGCAAAGTTGTTGAAAACAAATTCCAAGATCATGTGTTTCAGGATTTAATGGTTTAATGCCACCAGAACGTCCACACAATTCCGTCCAATTCCAAATCCATGTCCCTCCACCTGTATCTCTTAGCCAAGCATTCTCCATACCTTTATATTATCAATTACCTTGAAGATAAAACAAATTTTGTTATAAAATTATATAATTTTAATATAAATAAAAAAAAATATGAAAACTAAGATATATTTCAACATATTAACAGAGAATATTTGCTTTCAGAAAAAAAAGATGGAATCATTTAAAATTTCATCACAACACTATTAATAACACTAAGTATTCCTTTATTGTTTGAATACACACATACACTCATCTCTTAGAGAAAGGTTTATATTAAGAATATGCATTAAAAACATACATGTATACCTACTGAAATTTTAATTAAAATAATTTAAAACTATAAAGAATAAATCTCAAGAACAACTTTACTCTCTCTCTCTCAAATACATAATACATAACACAAAACAATGAAATTATCACTTCGGAAATACAATGAAACACAATATAACAATTATAAAACAAATCATGATATATTTTATATATAATATTTGCACAATTAAAAAAATATGTATTACTTTTTTATATTTCACTTTCAATGATTTTTATTTTTCATTATATATGCACTATATTACTTTGACATTGCTTTTAATACATGCGAAGTTGACGCGGTTAACTCAAGATTAAACTGTGATTAATACTGAGAATTCCTAACTGTTACTTACACTTCGAATACGATCCCTATAGATACTAGTGACGTAAAATTAGTTTATTATCGATTTTGAATAATCGTGAAACATAACTTTATCTGTTATAAACAATAAATAAAAAATTAAGTAAATAATATGCCAAGGAAAACGAGTTAGAGTACATGTTTATGATTGTATCGTTTATATAACCAGAAAAGGAGAACCATCTTTTTCTATTTTTTTTTTATCTTATCATAATAATGTGTGATATTTACGTAATGAATTATATGAATACGATTTTCTATATAAATAAATAAAAGCAGCAATTATCAAAACATTTAATGATGCTTATGGAAAGACAAGTTTCAAACGTGGAACAGAATTCTATCAAAGCAATGACAGAGGTTAGAAATAACTTGGAAGATGAATTGTTGAATTATTTGGCTGAAAGTGATGCAAATTTTAAAAGTCAACAAAAAGATGATCCTGAATTAACATTTGAAGAAAAGCGAACAATTGCAAGTAATTTACTTCAAAAAAGTCATTGTTTATTTCTTGCAAAATTTGGACATTATTTACGTGAAGAACATTTAAAATATTTTGACAGCGCTAAGGATGAAAATTATGAAATATCCTATCATATAAACAGATTACGCAGACATTTTAATAATTCTATAAGACAAAGAGATATAAAAAATAGGCGATATGAGGCACTTAAAAAATTGATAGAGGAAGGAGAATATTTTAGTGAATGTGAAATGATGAAACGGAACCCATTATTATATGAACAACTTGTTGGACAATATTTAACAAAAAAGCAAAAAGAAACTCGTGATAATATAGATATGAAAAGTATTACCTTCGTTCATCTCCTCATGGAAAGTATTGAAAGAGATTGGGCTAAAGAACGTGAAAAATTACAAAAAGAAGAAGAAGATAATGTTCTAGAAGAGAATGATTCTGATGATTCTGATGATAATGATGATGATGACGATGATGATACAAATGAAAATTGTTCCTTGAAACTTTCAAATTTGAAAGCGGAACAAAATAAATCTTGGGGTGAATTATCTGATGTTCAAGTTAATAAAGAAGATGAAAACAAAACAAAACATATACATAAATATATACAAAAAATCTCAACCAAAGAAAAAGAGATACTTAAAGAGGAATTTGTAACACATATGTATCAAAACTTTTTAGAAGGGAAAGATCCTGATTTTGATTATAGGTATTAAAAAAATAAGTATTGTTTTATATATATATATATATATATATATATATATATATATATATTTATTACATAAAATTATTAATATTGCTAACGTGAGATTTTATTTAAGATAAACAATAATTTTGTATGTATTTATTTAATATTTTGTTTTAGCATGGTCGATAATAATGAAGCATATGATAATGTAGATTTGCGAACTCAAGATGAAGAAGAAAAATATTTTGATTCAGAATCTCCTGAAACTATTATTCCAGAAAATGGCATAGTTCAGAGTGAATCTGAAGATGAATTGGATGCTTACATGCGATCGTTGAAGGTTAATTAATATTTCTTTCAATCAGTTCATTCCAAAAGTTCTGACTTACAGAAGAGTTATTTATTCAATAGGAACAGACTTCTACAAACACATATAGTGTGGACAATGAGACATGAATTTATAGATATAGTATCTTAGGACAAATATTGTAAATATAAAAACAAAGACTTTTAAAAGATTACCAAGTGTTTTTGATCATTTCTGATATTGTTTTTATATTTCTGATTATTGTTTTTATATACATATGAAAATGTATGCAAACTTTTTATTTTATATGTCTAATAATATATTCAATATAACATATTTAATTTCATTTAATCCATTGATTTTTCTATATTTTACATTAAAAATTAATTAATAAATGATATGTGCAATCAAATATTTAAGTAGATAGAAAGGAGAATACATTTATATATTTTAATTGATATTATTAATATTAAACATCTAAATTTTAATATTATTTCATTATTATTATACCATAATTAATTTTGATTTATTATGAATTATTTTAACAATTTGTATCTTTTGAAAATACATTACAAATTATAAATACAATCAAAGATAATTTGATAATATTAAAAATATTAATACAAGGTAATGTGGTAACGAGATTTGATTTAATTATGTTGAATAAACAATATTTTTATTTATTACATATAAAATATAAAGTAATTCAACATTTCGTATTTATTAACGTACCTTAAATAAAAATAATTTTGATGTAAAATTTATTTAAATGCGAATTTCAAACTCGAATTATTATTGCTCGCCGATGATATAAACAATAACAAAATGAGTTGTTTGAATGACTTTAACAAGTGACAACAGTTTACGGAAATATACCAAACAGTGAACATTAAAAATGTTTAAACTTATTCAATTAAATAATTATTTATTTCGATTGTTTTAGATTTATTTAAACTATGTCTAGCATTAAATGTTCAAATAAAATTACTTTGGAAGGAAACAATATTACTCAATTGCAAGTCTATTTTTGTTATCCTTAAAAAATTATATATATGTTCTTCAATACGATTTCTAATTAACGATACTATTGCGAAAATATCCTGCTAATGTCTTTCCTATTGGTCTTTAAGCAAAGTCGCCATTGAATGCATATTTGATAGAAATTGTCGTTATTAGTTATTACGTTTTCAGCGTTTATTAAGATATCAGCGAATTGGTTGTAAATTTAGGAATCCTCAAGCATTCAATGTAAGCATAACTGATGGAAAAAGAAATTTGGTTACATGGAAAAGAGAAACACCATGAAGAATTAATAGCTGCAGATAAACATACATATAAGTGTATCAGTCGTACAATGTACCTACCGGCTTGACAACGCTCTATCAAAAGAACTATACTGAAATCAAGTATATATTCCTTGTTGAGAGGGTGTTTTCGAAGTGTGGTGATTATTTTTTCATAAAAAATGGTAAATACTGTATCACTAAATAATGTATTTTATATTTGCTTGAAAGCTTTATTAACCTTATCATCTAAGTAAAGATACAAGTGACTTTCCTTAAACATCAAATTTATTGCATGAAAAGGTTAATCTGTGTAAAAATGTTTAAGTATATATGTCCTTCGAGTAAATCTTTACACATTTAAAAAGAAATATATTTCTTTTTAAATAATTAATTAATTTATTATACAGTTGGTTTTATTAAAATTTGATATTTCTATTGTAGTATATAATAACTTTTTAAAAATAATAATATTAAAGTAGACTCTTTATATATAAATATATATTATTTTAGTTATTTTATTCATTTGTTTCATTTCTACAATGTAGTATTTTTTCATATTTAATTCTTCATCTTTTAATATTAGTAATATTGTCGTGAAGAAATAATAAATTGTAAACAAATATGTTATTTATCAGGTTAAATAGTTCTTATTTAGTAAATGCAATTATCTCAATGACCTCTCAGATGCTTAAGCATAATAAATGGTGCATGCTTAATTTGAATGGCTTACCTGGCATGGTACTACCTGGTGTTCCTGGTAGGTATCTTTATTTTTCTCGCAGCCAATGACATCTGCCATGACTGGAGTGGAAGAACAAGAAAAACTCCTTGAAGATGCAATAGGCGTGGTCAAAGTTCAAGCTTTTCAAATGAAGCACTGTTTGGATAAGATGAAACTCATGGATGCATTAAAACATGCTTCTACAATGTTAGGAGAACTCAGGACTTCCCTATTAAGTCCAAAAAGTTATTATGAACTTTGTATCCTTAACTTTGTAAATCATCTATTTTTGTTATAATGTGCAACATAAGTTACATATAAAATATAATGTGGAAAAAGTTTTCCTATGATATAAAATTAGATATGGCAATTACAGATGAATTAAGACATTTAGAATTATATTTATTAGATGAATTTCAGAAAGGAAGGAAAGTTACAGATTTATACGAGTTAGTGCAATATGTTGGTAATATCGTACCAAGATTGTATGTATATATTTTTTATTATACTACGTTCTATTTAAATTAGATTATTAAACTAATAACTATTTTATTAACATTATAGATATTTGCTTATCACAGTTGGATTAGTATATATCAAAACAACTCCAGGCCTAAAAAGAAATCTTCTTCGAGACTTAGTAGAAATGTGTAGAGGTGTACAACATCCTTTAAGAGGTCTTTTTTTGAGAAATTATTTATTGCAATGTATACGTAATATATTACCAGATGTTGCAGAAAGTGATGATGAAGATGGAACTGTATGTAAAAAGATTTCAAAAAACAGTTTAGTCTAGAGATTTACATTGTGTTTTTTTTTAGAGATTTATTCATGTTTATTTACAGGTCCGTGATAGCATAGATTTTGTTCTTATGAATTTTGCAGAAATGAATAAGTTGTGGGTACGCATGCAACATCAAGGTCACAGTAGAGATAGGGAGAGGCGAGAAAGAGAAAGAGAAGAATTAAGAATATTAGTTGGAACAAATCTTGTACGATTAAGTCAATTAGAATCTGTTACATTAGATAAGTATAAAAAGGTAAACTGTTTAAAATTGAATCTCACATTAAATATATTTTGTAAATATTATTTTTACTAAATATTTGTTTCAGTTAGTATTACCAGGTATTTTAGAACAAGTGGTAAGTTGTAGAGATGCAATTGCTCAAGAATATCTCATGGAGTGTATTATACAGGTATGACTAAATAATTCTAAATAAAAAGTAATTAAATATATCCTTAATATATAAATAATAAAATTGTTTAAAATTATATATAGGTATTTCCAGAAGAATTCCATCTACAGACACTAAATGCATTCCTAAAATCTTGTGCAGAATTACAGAATGGAGTAAATGTGAAAAATATAATAATTTCTCTAATAGATAGACTTGCAGCATTCAGTCAGAGATCTGATGGTGTAGGAGGACCAGGAAGTCCTAATCAAGTTCCAGGAATTCCACAAGATGTTAAACTATTTGATGTATTTAGTGATCAAATAGCAACTATTATACAGGTACAAATAATTAATAGATAGAAAATAACTTTGTAGTTTTTATAGTACAAAATTATTCAGTGATGATTGTTCTTATGTAACTATTGATATTTACATGATTATGTATATTTCACACAGCTTCCTTACTCATTAAGTTTAAGTCTGAGAATGATTGAAAAAATAAATTATTTAAAAATGTTTATTGCCATATTTATTAATTTAAATAATATTTTATGCTTTTAGACTAGACAAGATATGCCGGCTGAAGATATAGTTTCTCTTCAAGTAGCTCTCATTAATTTAGCACATAAATGCTATCCAGACAGGGTAGATTATGTTGATAAAGTTTTATTAACTACTGTACAAATATTCCAAAAACAAAATGTAGATAAGTATGTATGATAATAAGATAAGCAATAATAACTATTTTTTTTTTCATTAATTACAGATAAAATAAATACACTAAAACTTAATTTTTATTTAGGTTGGAGTACAATAGTGCTGTATCAAGAGAATTAGTTAGGTTAATGAAAATTCCTGTAGATAATTACAAGAATATTTTGACTGTCCTAAAATTGGAACATTATGCACCTTTATTAGAATATTTTGATTATGAGGGTAGAAAATTATTAGCTATTTATATAATAACAAATATATTAGAAAATGAAACTTTGATACCAACTCAAGAACAAGTGGATGCTATTTTGTCAATGGTATCACCATTAGTTCAAGACCAATCTGATCAGCCTAGTATAGAAGAAGATCCTGAAGATTTTGCAGAGGAACAAGGACTTCTTGGTCGATTAATTCATCATTTTAAATCTGATACTGCCGATCAACAATATATGATATTGAGTGCTGCCAGAAAACACTTTAGTGCTGGTGGCAATCGAAGAATAAAGTATACACTTCCACCCATTATTTTTCAGGCATATCAATTAGCTTTTACATATAAAGGATTAAAAGATCAGGTGTGTAGATTTTTCTGAAATAAAAAAAATCATGTAAATAAATTAAACTTGTATCTTTCAGGATGATATGTGGCAAAAAAAGTGTCAAAAAATTTTTCAATTTTGTCATACAACTATAACTGCATTAATGAAAGCTGAATTAGCAGAGTTACCGCTAAGATTGTTTCTTCAAGGAGCTATTGCTATAGGAGAAATTCGTTTTAATAACTTTGAAATGGTTGCTTATGAATTTATGAGTCAAGCATTTTCAATATATGAAGATGAAATTAGTGACTCAAAAGCCCAACTTGCAGCTATCACATTAATTATTGCTACGTTTGAACAGATGAGTTGTTTTAGTGAGGAAAATGCAGAACCAGTGAGAAACCAATGTGCTTTATATGCTAGTAAATTATTACGAAAACCAGATCAATGTAGAGGTGTTGCTACATGTTCACACATATTTTGGTCTGGAAAATCTTTAGCTACAGATGGAAAAGAAGTAAATATTTACGTTTGAAAATATATTAAAATAATTATTTTATGTCTATATAACTAAAATTGACATAATTTTAGATGCATGATGCAAATAAAGTTTTGGATTGTTTAAAAAAAGGAATAAGGATAGCAAGTCAATGTATGGATACTTCTGTACAAGTGCAATTATATGTAGAATTGTTGAATCATTATATCTATTTTTATGAAAAAGGAAATACTGCGGTAAGGTGATAATTAATCATTAAAACAATTATGTAATAATACATATGAAATATAATATGATTATTTGCTACAGGTTACGATACAAATTTTAAATCAAGTGATTGCAAAAATTAGGGAGGAACTTCCTAATTTGGAAGTTAGTGAAGAAACAGAACAAATTCAAAAACATTTAGCAAACACATTGGAACATTTAAGGAATAGAATGGAATCACCGGAATCTGAGGGTTTATCTTATCAACGTCTTGTTTTGTAATAATATAAAATAGCCTTATTAAAATTTTGTACATATAATTCTAAAAAAAAATTACCTAAAATGCGATAATCTGAAATTTTAGAAGTACGTGTTTATTTAAGATACATCTGTGAAATACAATTTGATTATATTAGTCTACTTAAATAAAATAAACTGTTATAATAATTTAGTCAAATATTATTCAATTATAATTATGTACAATTATTTTAATAAAAATTTACTAAATGCCTTAACAAATATTTCTTATATATAAACCTAATAAAATATTTGGATTAATATAATTTTAACATTAGATGTATTTTATGGAAAATGATCTTGCATTTAAAATTATGCATTATATAAACAAAGTTAAAATAATAAATTATCGTAATAGAATATTTATAATTTTGCATCAATTTCTCAAATGAGAATTTTTTTTCCAAAAAAGGATCGAGTAGGAACATAATCAAGTAAGATTGAATAGGCTCGAATAATAGAATAAAATAAGATCGAAGAAGACCAAATAAAATCGAAAAGGATTATATAGAATCAAATAAGATCGAATATTGGGATTTGGTTGCTGTAAAATACTTCTTATGATAATGACCTTCTGCTGTTTAATGAATTTCCTGTATTTACCGGTAATGATCTAAAACTATTATTCACAAATACATACCAATTGTCACAAGCGATATATTACCTTGCGAAATTAATGAACATTGAAAACGCTCTAAATGTCGAATATTTTACACCAGATAATAATATTATAAAAATGATGATCCTCTTAAGACACATTAGTCGCAAATCATATCAATATTATATTGACACAATATTATATAAACATACACAGCTATACAACGGTTTACACACGAATAGCAATCTATTGCCTTGCCGTTGTTCGCATATAACTGCAATTATTTATTATTTTTGACACGAGTATTATAAGCTAAAAATTATTAAATCGTTTGAAATATTAACATATTTATTTTATTTTACTGATACAGTTATCGATGCAACTAATAATGAAGATTAATTTATCAACTTTTATTTAATTTATACTCATGTATATTTTTTCATGTATATTTTTTCTTTTATTTTATTGTTGTCTCAAAAGATTTATAAATGTCTTAAATTTATGAATATTTTTTAGTTTCCATCACAATTTTAATTTAAATAGTAAAAGATAATTTTTCTTTTTGCATGACGAGTATAGTCGTTATAACACAAAATATTTTCATTTATTCATGATGAATATATTTATCAAATACAGTTAACAGATTAAGTTTTGTCAATAATATCAATAAATTCGGGGAAAGCTACATATTTAACATGTGAACTCGTTGAAAAAAAATTTCTATTTTACCAACTGGATGACTTGATCAATGGTAATAAATATTTATTTAACAAGTAAGTAACTCAGTCGGTAATAACAATTTAAATATGCAGTTAATTCTTTACACTTAATTTAAATCGTAACAGCGCGTACTACAAAAGCGACAAAATCGCTCTTGTCTGTAAAAATTGAACTAACAGGTTTCACTCGATATACATACCACGAGTCTCATACGATATTATAGAGTAAGGGGTTAAGTAAATAAATATATTAACATGCAAACATATACATTCATTTTATTACAAATTTTTATTTTGAATCATTCTTAATAGCGCGGGCTTTCTGTATGTATATAAGAGCGCCATCTATAATTGTCAATTTGACGAATAAAGTGGTTTGTTGGTGATATAGTGGCACGTGTTTATTTTAAAAAGAGATTTTAAATACGTTTTCTAAATAATAATGGGTAAAGGACGGAAACATAAACCAAAAAAGAATTTTGCTGAGAAACGCCGTGAAAAACAACAAGTAAGAATTTATTATTTATTATTGTATATACCGGCAACGATTTAGGGTTATTCTCTCTATTTTAATAATTTGTTATTTTTTCTTCTGTTTTGTTTATTAATATATTTTTCTTAATTTTTCTTTGAAATTTATATAGAAGAAAAACGAATGGGATAATACACCACACAGAAGTTATGCTGATATAATCAGGGAAAATAAGGATTTTGAAAACTATTATAAAACACAAAATATAATCCCTGAAGAGAAATGGGATGAATTTATTACTACGATGAGGAAAAATCTTCCTGTAGCATTTCGTATTACTGGCTCAAAATCCGAGGCAAAAGTTTTATTAGACATTATAAAGAGTGACTTTTTTAAAGAAATTTTAAATACTAATTTAGAAGATGGCGAAGAAGATACTGACAAGAAAAAAATATTACATTGTTTACCATTTTATCCAGAAGAATTAGCATGGCAGTTACAATTAACAAGAAAAGATATTCGTAGATCTGAAGCATATTTCAGGTTACATAATTTTTTAATTGCAGAGACAAATAGTGGTAGTATTAGTAGACAAGAAGTAGTTAGTATGGTACCACCTTTAGTTTTGGATGTAAAACCTGGACATAAGGTAAATATATAAATCGTGAATTATTTCTTTAATTATGATGTTGATTACATATATATTAATATATATTATTTTTTGTAGGTGCTAGACATGTGTGCTGCACCAGGATCAAAAACAGCACAGTTGATAGAAATGATACATGCTAATGAGGGTAATATACCTCCAGGTATAAATTCGTTATATTTAATATATTTATTTATATGCAAAAGAAATACAACTTGCATATACTAATCAATTTACTTGTCAACAGAAGGTTTTGTGATAGCGAATGATCTTGATAATAATCGTTGTTATATGCTTGTACATCAAGCTAAAAGATTGAATAGTCCTAATATACTCATCACGAATCATGATTCATCGATCATGCCAAACTTTAGTGTAACTCAGGCAGATGGTACTAAAGACACTTTGAAGTTAGTATAATTCATGTATTAATGTATTCTTCTATTATTCATGTATTAATGCAAACATTACTTTAAATAGATTTGATAGAATACTTGCTGATGTACCATGTAGTGGTGATGGTACAATGAGAAAGAATCCAGATATTTGGTGTAAGTGGAATGCAGCAAATGGTGATAATCTTCATGGGTAAATATCATAGTTGTGTTAATATAAACATAAAAGTTATAATTCATAACTTAAATTGGCTTTTTTTAAAGAATTCAATACAGAATAGCAAAAAGAGGATTAGAATTATTAGCAGTTGGAGGTAGGATGGTATATTCTACATGTTCACTAAATCCTGTTGAGAATGAAGCAGTTCTTCACAGAGTTCTTACTGAAACACAGGACTCTGTTCAACTAGTGGATTGTAGAGATTTAGTACCAGGATTAATATGTGATCCTGGTCAGTATTTTTAATTTTCAAAATCATATACATATTTATATAATTTAAAGAAAATTTTAATAAAGAAATGTTTTAGGTGTAACACATTGGTTACCGGCTTCTAAAAATTTACAATATTATAATTCATGGGAGGATGTTCCTCAGCAATGGCAAACGCAGATCCGACCGAAAATGTTTCCACCAAATAAAGAAGATAGTTTAAAATTTCATCTTGAACGTTGGTAAATTAGAATTATTTGATTTGTTACTTTTCTTTAAATAATTTATATAGTTTAAACGATATAATTTATATTTTTAAATTATATAGTATGAGAATATTACCACATCATCAAGATACAGGAGGCTTTTTTGTTGCTGTACTTGAAAAAGTAAAACCTTTACCATGGGAAAATGAATCAAGTGTATTTAATCAGAACTTAGAGAATACAAACATTGATAGTAAAAAGGATGAACTGAGTCTTGAAGAGGAAGCAGAACACGAGGAAACAGAAAATAATTCAAATGATAAAAAAAGATCATTGGAAGGTGAAAAGAAATGGCAAGAACCTCAAAGAAAACGTAAAAGAGTTGTTGGATATAGAGAAGATCCGTTTGTTTTCTTTAAAGATGATAAAGAAGATGTATGGTTATCAATTAAGTAAGATTTAATATATTGTATTATAATTTTCGAATTGTAGTATACAAAATACTGATCTTTTCCCTAAATTTATTAGAGAATTTTATGACATATCTGATGATTTGGATCCACGATGTTTATTAGTCAGATGTCACGAAGGAAAAAAGAAAAACATTTATTTCACGTCACCGGCAATCCGTGATATTGTTATATCGAATGAAAATAAAGTCAAAATGATTAATACAGGTGTTAAGACTTTTGTACGTTGCGATAATAAAAACATGAAATGTGCCTTCAGACTTGCCCAGGAAGGAATGCAAAGTATTTTTCACTATATTGGCAAAAGCAGAAAGCTTAAAGTAATGAAAGAAGACTTAATCATGCTTTTGCAAAACAATGAACCGCGTACACCACCTGAAATTATTAAATTGAGTCCAGTCACTCAAGAACTTCTTAAAGACTTTGGTATTATTTATTTAATATTATATATTAATATTAATTAATATAATTAATAAAATGAATGTATAAACTATTAAATTTTATCCTTACTAAATAATCTCAACTTTCAGCAACTGGTAGTTGTATACTTTTATACGAAGAAGAAAAAACTGATAAGCTGTATCCATTAAAATTACAGTTAGTAGGTTGGAGAGGTACTATGTCCCTTAGAGCTTATGTGCCTATTCATGATGCGATTCATTATTTACGTTTATTAGGAGCTGACTGTTCAATGTTTGGTATGTAGCCTGAATTGTATAATGATATATACAAAATATATGAATTAAATTGTATAAATAACTATCATTTTTTATATATATTTTTTAGAAAAAAATAAATTCAAAGAAAACCGCACTTTATTAACAGACGAAATTAATAATGAAGAATCGGTAAATGAAGAAACCGTTACTGAAGAAAAAATCAATGAAAATGGTGATTCTTTATAAAAAAAATTCGAATAATTTTTATTACTAGCAGTTATCTCGCGTAATTGTCAGTAATAATTTTATACCAACTTAATGTTCCTTAGAGCAGTGGATGTTCGTTCTTTACCACATATGCATATATATTTGTTATATACAAATAAAATACCTATATATGTATACTTTACTATAAACTTTATACAAGTTTTACATTATTAAAATAGAAATAAACACATAAAGGAATGTCAAATAATATAGATTCATAAAAAAAAAATTGGGTAAAAGTCGAGACATTTATAATAATGGGAAATGTATTTACTATCTATGTT